CCCCCCCCAAATTTCCTCTGCCCCCCTCCTCCCCTGCGGTACACATAATGAACGCAGCCTAATAAACAATTGCAAGACATCACAATAAGGGATAATTGATGGTAAGACAGAACTAACAGTAGCAGGTTGGTAACGGTTGGTAACTTACTGGATGAACAAACACAAGGTAGGAACATCCGTTTTTCTATGAATTATTGAAATCAGCATTAAATTTCAGGAAAAGAAAGTTTTAATTTCCTGTTTATTATTTACGAAAGTAGTCAGCCACCTTAAGTTCTATATCACCAGCCATGCTCAAGAACAAGAGTACGAGTCCGACTTTACCAGGTGAACCCCGACGACAATGGTCATCCGCGACGATAAACTAGAAGTTTCAGACGATAAACTAGAAGTTTCAGACGATAAACTAGAAGTTTCATGTTGAAATACTTTATGAGCTGTCTTTATTGGTGGGATGGAAAGTGCTGAACGTACAATCCAGATGTACTGGAGGTAGATAATTAAACTGCGTTGTTGGGTTTGAAATTGCGGATTATGAGAAATAGAAAGACAAAGGTACACAACATCCGGACACCAGTTCTGACAGCAGCCATTCTGTTAGTGCGCGAGCCACTTGAAAGATGTGCGACGACGTTTGGACTTTTTGGGCGCACTAGTTGTCGGTGAACGGCTATGCTGTCCTGTCCAGATACATTTAAATTTAGCTAGTGTCACGTGGTCATCTTTCAACCAATGAGAGTGTTCGTTATGTTGGAAAAGTTCGAAGCCATACAACAATAGATTGTAATTTAACTTTTTCAATATTCTTGCCCGTGTCGCTTATCGACATACATTCAGTTAGTAAACAATTGGGTGGATGACAAGATATTTTTGGCTACTTCATATATTATCGTAAGAAACTGACACGGTACAAGGAAATCACTATTTTCCGACCTTCGCTCAATAATATACAATTTAAACTTTGGAATGTGGAAATATCACGTATGTATAAAAAAGGCTTTTTGTAAGGCTCCGTTCACACGTATCCGGAAATTTTTGTATCCGCAAATTATTTTTTGCGGATACGAAAATGTTTGCGTCCACACGCAGCGTATTCAAGTCGTTTTCACCGTCCACACATATCCGTTTTCGTAAAATTTGCGGATACGGACACAAAAATTTGCGGACACGTGTGGACGCAACCCGTATCCGTAAAAACAAAATTTGCGGATACAAAAATTTCCGGATACGTGTGGACGGGGCCTAAAAACCATAAATCTTACTTAAGAACATAACTCCAAATATATACAATTAGCTTACCATAAAGAGATGGTCTTTTTCTTTAACTTGATAGCAGCACGCTCAAATTCATTGTTACACAGAAACGTTCCTAGATATGAACCAAAAAAGCAATAAAATAAGACACCTATCAATTATTGAGCGATTCACTGGGAGCGCAATGATGTTTATCAGAATAGGTATGATTTCTGACCCAATATTGCATGACACGAAGTTTAATTACCACTTGATTATATCCATTTTGAAATCCCAATCAATAGATGTGAGACAATCCCAATCAATAGATGTGAGACAAAGAAGAAAAAGCCTTTTTTATTGAAATCCATTTAGGCATAGTTCGTAGATGGGGCCCCTCTTCTAACTATGTTTTAGCTCCTACACAAACTTAGTTGTTGCATATTTTGAATCAAATATTGTAAAAATAATATGTAAAAAATGATAAAAATATAATGAAAACACTGTGGCCATCGCTTTTAGTAATTTGTGAGATATTGAGCTCCGAGCAAGGGGCTATGTGAGTTTTAGCTGCCGCAGTTGACCACCTTCCGTTTATTATACACTCGGCAGTGAATGCAGATTTTCGAACAGCCCAAAACCCCACAAAAACACAATTTCTGACTCAAATCTTAAAACCATTGTTCCTCAACTATCAAACTATAATTTTCGTGACATATTTTTAGACAAAACAAAACGACCCACTTGATACCGCGATACAAAAACAGCACGTTTTCACATCGAAGGACCACTTCAGAGCCTTTAGAAGGTCTTTAAATGCAACGAATAAGCTTAAAAGAATACAATCAAAAACAGAAAGTTGAGCGAGCGGCTCAACGGACGTACATAAAGTTCCTCTGTACACTAAAAGTCATAATCCAGTAAAGTAAGCAAATACTACTCCGATATCTCTAATCCTGTCGTATTTTAAATGGCTGGCAATATTAAAGCACTTAAAAAGGAAAACAGCGATATATTAAGGAAGATCGAAACTTTAGGAAAGGATTTTGAACTGAAAACCAAGATGGCGTCAACTACTTCTAGTCGACAAGAAGTTGTCAAAAGCATCCAGTTCCTAAGCAATGAGTTTTTTTAAAAGAAAAAAATCACCTCAGACGTAAAGATCAATGTCTTTGACAACTCCTTAAACGGACGAGTCACGGAAGAGAAAATAAAGATTACTTTAAATACCTTAGATCGTTAATTGAAAGTAAGCTCTAGCTTGGAAATATCACATAAATTATATAAGTACTAAAATTGGTAAATAAGTTGGTCTGATCGTTAAACTTAAACATAGTATACCCCAAGATACCTTTTACTTTAACAAAAGCGTGCACTTAGACTAATCTTCTTTGCCAAGAGAAGCCAGGGTACTATTCTACTATTCATCAAAACACAGATTCTTCCTTTGAATACCAAATATATTCATTTTCTAGCAAATTTAATGCATGTTGTCAATAAAAAAGCTCCACCTAACCTATAATAGATCTATCCTAATAGTCTTTCTTTTATACTACTATTGTACTAAACTTTCATTTCTAAAAAAAATGATAATGATAATGATAACGATAATGATAACGATAATGATAATAATAATATCTTGAAGCTTAGGTCTGGGCATCCTGAAGCATACACTGCTATAATTATAATAAGTTTCGCAAACTCTCTTGTCTGTGAGCAGGTGGCACTGTGCTTGTAGCATAGTAAATAATTAACTATGCTTGTAGTTAAACCGTTACAAGTATCGAACAATGGCTGCACTCATAATCTTTACCGAGTTTGACTCGTAGTCTCGTAGTCTCTTAGTCTACTTTCTTGATTCGTATAGGTAATAAAATGATTTCGCGAGAAATCATCTTATTAACTTTTAATAATATACATAAAAATATTTTAGCAAGATAAAGTCGGAAACAACTGGAGAAAGTATTTTTTTGAAAATGACGTAATGCCAACCACGTGAGTATTTTAGTGAATACGACTGGATAAAAATACAATTTATGATTGAACACCCCATAGTTATAAAAATAGCGGCTTTGCATTGAAACTGACAAGCAATCAAAATTTGTTAGAATACAAATTGAGGGAAAAGTATCCCAAATTCAGCTGTGAAGTACTCATTACGGCAGTAAATAAGTTTAGAAGGTGTCTGAATCACTTTCAATGATATAGCGGCGTTTTCTCTGTGGGTTGACCTTCGGGGATTTCTGGTAATTGAACGCTACTGTACAACCGTTAAATGAGTTGCATTGACCCTGAGAACCATCGTTTACTGCTGATTTTGACATCAGGCTGTTAAAAAAAAAAAACAACAAAAAACAGGCAATGACTGAAAAGGATGCGAAATGTAGTTTGGAAATTGATTCTGAAAACCAGGCATGGACATGGAAGGCTCGTAAAGCGAAGAGTTGTTGTTATGTTGTATTTGCCAATTTGGAAACTGAATTTCGCTGACTGGAACTATAGCTCTTTGTGAAATGTTATTTCTACTGAGATGGCCAGAGAAAGTTCACATTGTTCTTGCTCGTCACCTTCCTCGTAATCATCGATGGAATGTATGTTTCTTTCGCCAGTTATCTTCGCTATTCCCGCTCGTTCTACCCTGGCGGTAGAACGAGCGACGAGAGTCTTTCTGGCACTGTGGTTGGTGAACTTTTTAACGTTTGTCTCAAGAGTTGTTCCCTCTACAATTGACTTAATGATGGCATTAATTTTGTTCACTCCCATGGGCTGAATAGTGAGCCAAACCTGGTCATCGGTCTTTCTCTTGTGCTATATCGATAGATAAAATGGCCCTTCGCTTTGCAACTGAGGTGGCAGGCGGATATAGCCCTTGAAAAACTGAACAGGACATCGTTCGCCTCCGACTGCAAACATTCGTGAGGAAAAATCCCTCGGCTTTTGCTTAAACCACCATATCTTGTTTTTGTTGAACCTTCAGTATACTCAACAAACTCCACGCCATTATCAGCCATACTCAAGCGGAAATCTTGAATCTTCATGTCGTTGTGCTCTAGACGTCCACGGAGACCAAACCCAAACTGCTGGGTGAGTATCCACCAAATTGTACTTATTATTTTCAAGTTTTCCTGACGTCCAAAGAACTTTTTGTTGTTGTAGGGTTACTTGCCTCGACGTATTAGGTCGTTTCCCTCGACCACCTTCCCTCAGTAGCTTGGCTTTTCCCTCTAGCACTAAAGTTTATATCCTTTATCCTTTAGATGTCGATTGCTAGAAGTAACCATTACACGATTGCTATCTGGCTCGTATTTTTCGCCATTTTTTGTCTTGACTTCCGCATAAAATCTATCGAGCAAAAGATTTAGATCCTCTGCCTTAATTAGTTATTCCTTTTTCAAGGCACCAAAGTGACCAAACATTGAATCCAAAATGTAGTACTTTCTGTCGTATTATGATTCTTGGACCCGCAGCAAATCTCGAGCTTTGGGCAGCCATTTTTTTTTGCTTTGTTTCAAAGTTGCCACCAAAAGCTAATGATGTGTACACTCAACTCTAATTGGCTGTCGACATTTTCTATTGTTTTATTATTCGTAATATGCACTGCTATTTCAGTTTTTTTTAAGTTGTAAAGTTGTTTTTCCCAAAGACTCCTTCAAGTCGTGACATCGAAAATAGGAAATTCTAGCTTATTGCTACTAAGTACATCATCGTCATCTAAAAACTGTAAAAACCAGACAATCGTGTCAAAGCTCAAAAGATAGATTTTGCTCCTATTTTAACCATAGATTAACCTTAACATGAAACAAATCAGGATTATTTTGTTTGGAAAAAGATTGCATTTTTACGAGAAAATCGCGAAAAATGAAATTTTGTCAAAACGCTCTTTTGAGACGGTCAGATTTTAAGTCAACTTTGGTGGCCTCGTGTGGCAAACTTAAATACTCTTATGACTTCAAACCTTCTTAAAATTGTTAATAGACATCTTAAATTTAGTCCAAAGCCTTTATAAAAATTGTAAAATTTCTAGCTACTTTTTGATATTATTTTAAATTTATTTTAAAGTTATACTTTACGCCTTATGAAAAATATTGCAAAACCCAAAAAAATAGAATGATAACGATAATGATAAAAAATATTGCAAAACCCAAAAAAATAGTTTACTAAGTGCTACCCAAAATCATTCAATATTTCGTATAATGAAAGTCAAGATATTAAATATATGACTGTGAAAAAATCAGCTTGGGTAAATGTTATAGAGCATAGTTATGGAGCTCCGAGCTTTCACCGTTCTGCGGTCAGCTAAGATCTGTCAAATCGTCAAGTCGCAACTAACAATTTGCATCGACAATCACGGTTTTTCTTTTCTTTTACCCGCACACTGTCTTGAAATCAAAACATCAAAACAAAAACATACGTTGCCATTAAATTTTGAGGATTTTAAAAACGTGTAGCTATAAATCCATTTACCTATTAATTTGTAAATGATGGCTAGTAAACACTAGCGTGGACTGCGTCGGTGTTTCTAATGAAACAGTTATCGTAGATTGATAAGTTTTACACCGTAGTGAAAATAGGAACTGACGTTTCGGACGTTAGTCCTTCGTCGGAGTCAATAGAAAGTAAGAGTGAGAGAGATGTTTATATAGTTTATAACCTCTGATAAAAAAGGCGTCTCTTGATTATCAGTTCATGGAAACTATCGTCCAATTTCTAATTTGAAAACCGTATCTAAACTCATCGAAAAAGTTGTTGCCGTTCAACTCAATGCTTTTCTATCTGAAAACCATCTTCATGAGCCCATGCAGTCCACCTACAAGCCTTTCCACAGTTGTGAAACTGCTCTTCTTCGTGTCAAAAATGACATTCTTCAAGCTATTGATAATCGCTCCTGTGTTGCCTTGCTTCTCCTTGATTTATATGCTGCTTTTGATACCGTAGATCACAAAATTCTTCTTAATCGTCTTAATACCAAATTTGGAATCCTACCTCTCTAATCGTACACAATTTGTCTCTCTTGATGGTGCCTCATCTGAATTTCTCCAGCTTGATTGTGGTGTACCTCAGGTTCTGTTCTTGGTCCAATATTGTATCTGCTTTACACCTCACCTGTTGCTGATCTCCTTCGTAAACATAAGATGTCTTTCCACCKGTATGSTGATGATRCACAACTGTAYATACCATTTTCTYGTWATGRTGCTTTTTCTCTTGATCATGCCATGACTCTAATTGAAAACTGTCTTGCTGACATTGATAATTGGATGACTTTGAACAAACTTAAACTGAATAAAGACAAGACTGAATTCTTAATCTTCTCTTCCAAGCACAATCCTCAAAGATCTTTTCCTGTTCTCCACTTTGGCTCTGATGTAATTAATTGTTCGTCTCAAGCTCGAAATATTGGTGTTATTCTCGACTCTACATTGTCTATGGTCCCACACATCGACAATACTTGCAAATCTGCCTTCTATCATCTACGTAACATAGCTCGAATCAGAAAATTCATCTCCTCCAAGACCACAGAAATACTTGTTCATGTATTCATCACTTCAAAACTCGATAACTGTAATTCTCTTCTGTATGGCCTTCCCCAAAATCTCATTAACAAGCTTCAAGCTGTCCAGAATGCTTCTGCTCGTCTCATCACCTTGTCACGCAAACATGATCACATAACTCCTGTCCTCATTGATTTACACTGGCTTCCTGTGGCTGAAAGGATCAAGTTTAAAATAATTTTGCTTACCTTCAAAGCCCTGTATAATCTCTCTCCTGTCTACATCCAAGATCTCATCTCTACCTATAAACCTTCACGCAATCTTCGATCGTCTTCTCATCTGGCTCTAAACTCCAAGTCCTACAATCTTCAATCTTATGGTCTACGTTCTTTTAATGTTACTGCCCCTAAACTTTGGAACATGCTCTCGTCATCAATAAGAGACACTACTAATTTGGCTTCATTCAAATCACAACTTAAGACTTATTTATTCAAATTAGCTTTCAAATCATAGTTTTTGTTTTACTCTTTCGTAGTCTTACCTTAATTTATCGTGAACATTTTCATCATCATTTATTTTCAAAGCGCTTAGAACAGACTTGTTACAAGTTTTTTTATTATACATTTTACTAAGTACCTCAATTCTGATTGGTCGAGAGCCCTCAGACAATCCCTGATATCGTGTGCACTCGACATGATAAATGTATTATCTGTAGGTTTTCCTACAGATAATACATTTATCATGTCAAGTTCATTCAAGGTCACGCTGTGGTAGCTTTGCCAAGGGCATTGAGATCTATCCATCGAGATGGCATCCTCACGCTTTGCTTCGCTTTCCGAAGAAGAAATAAATAATCTCTTAGAAGAAAAAGA